CACACACACACACACACACACACACACACACACACACACACACACACACACACACACACACACACACACACATACAGACACACTAACTGCAAAGACTCCCATTTTGTGCTTCGCACATGGGAGTCAAAAACACTGATTTATGGGGAAATACTAATATTCTCTCAACTGATTTTCGCTTCCAACATTTATTATTTCCTTTGCAGTTATTATTTCCAGGTGTTTCCATACTACACTTCGTTATTTCTACCAATTATTATCGTACTGCGTACTATGAAGAATGCCATTTCGGATAACAGTATTTTGCGCTTCGGGAACATTTTCAATTATCAGTAAGTTATACTTCAAAACATCAGTTGCTATAAAATGACACTCTTGTTTTATTATTACTCTGGAACACAATTCACGCTGTTGCAGTAGTAAGAAATGCGATAGTCAGTGTAAACCGAATTGAAAACAATAATGACACATTTAAAATAATATTAATGGCAACAACAAATCTGGTACGTCGGAAAAAAAACAAAATAATTAAACGTGTAAATGTGCCAGACCCTAGCGAAACCTAAATGTAAATCAGACATACATACAACAAAAACAAGACAAGAACAATCAAATATAAAGCATCAAAACACATTCAGCTATGTATATTACCTGGTGGTAGTGACAATCCTGTCTGTAAATGATTTCCCCCACTGTCAAAAGATACCACAATTACTGGTGTATGTGCAGGCTGGTTTTAATGATGTATAACATGTCACCACAAATCAATCTGGTATACCAATTATCACGTGACCTGGAGAAGATATTAATGTCATAATAAAATATGTAAATTTAAATAAAGTAGGATTCAAAATCGGCATATGATTTTATAATGAAATAACACCTAGCTTCAAAAAATATCAAAATAGATTTCATAAATTATAATTGAAGATTCAAATAAATGCGTTTTTTTTATATAGAGACTACACAGATTTTAAGCCGTAACAACATATGTGTGGCGGGATGCAAACTAGGCGTGCTTATATGCTGTAACTTCGTGCTTTAGTGTAGATAATAGATGTGTTGATATCAATCAT